GCTGCCCCTCCCCCAAGCACCAAGAATACAGAGCATCACTTGCCCCAGACCAAGAGTTCCTATAAGAACATAAGAGAAGCCAGTGTTGGATCAGGCCAGTGGCCCATCCAGTCCAACACTCTGTCACACAGTGGCCAAAAATACCAGGTGCCCTCAGGAGGTCCAGCAGTGGGGCCGGGAAACCAGAAGCCCTCCCACTGCTGCCCCTCCCCCAAGCACCAAGAATACAGAGCATCACTTGCCCCAGACCAAGAGTTCCTATAAGAACATAAGAGAAGCCAATGTTGGATCAGGCCAGTGGCCCATCCAGTCCAACACTCTGTCACACAGTGGCCAAAAACACCAGGTGCCCTCAGGAGGTCCAGCAGTGGGGCCGGGAAACCAGAAGCCCTCCCACTGCTGCCCCTTCCCCAAGCACCAAGAATACAGAGCATCACTTGCCCCAGACCAAGAGTTCCTATAAGAACATAAGAGAAGCCAGTGTTGGATCAGGCCAGTGGCCCATCCAGTCCAACACTCTGTCACACAGTGGCCAAAAATACCAGGTGCCCTCAGGAGGTCCAGCAGTGGGGCCGGGACACCAGAAGCCCTCCCACTCTTGCCCCCCCCAAGCACCAAGATTTAACAGAGCGTCCCTTGCCCCAGACCAAGAGTCCCTCTCTAGACCTTGTGGCTCATAGGGGCCACTGATGGACCTCTGCTCCCGATGCTTATCCAATTCCCTCTTGAATTGTCTTCCTTTCCTCTGCTCCCCGTCTTCCCGACAGGCACCCCCATTCCTTGCGAGCCCAATGAGTTCAAGTGCCGCAACGGGCATTGCGCCCTCAAGCTGTGGCGATGTGACGGAGACAACGACTGCGGGGATGGCTCTGACGAACTGCACTGCCGTAAGATTTTGGAGCTCCGGGAGGACCGAGGCGGGGACAGCCCCTGCTTGGCTGGCTCTAGGTCTGCCAGGCAGGGGACCCCCCCACACACACACCCAGTCTCCACCAGGCCCGCAGGGGCCCTCCTAGCAAACCTGCCCAGTTTGGATTTGGAGGGGCCGTGCTGTGGGTGGGGAAGCCCAAACTGAGCAGCAGGCCTGAGACTGTGCACCCCCCACCCCAGCCAAAAAGAGGCACTTTGGGGACAGGAGGAAGAAGGCAGTGGAGCGCTGAGAGTCCTCTGTTGGGTGGGTGGGGCCTGCATGAGCCCATCGTCCAGGCTTACACTCCCGTCTGCCCCACAGCCACTAAGGGCCCCGGTGACACCTGCGGCCCTGACCAGTTCGTCTGCGTGGCCAGCCACACCTGCATCCCCGCCAGCTACCACTGCGACAACGAGACTGACTGCACAGACCACTCGGATGAGATCGGCTGCAGTGAGTGTCATGGGCGGGGGGGAGGGGGGGGGTCAGGGCTGAGCTGCAGGGCCCTCAACTAAATTCTAGTGCAGGAGAGGAAGGGGGGAAGGGAGATCACTTTGTCCACAAGAGGCACTCTTCGTTGTGCCCTCCCCTGTAGGACATTTTCCTTCCCCAAGAGCCCAAAAGGCTACGTGAAGGCATTGTACCTCTGGCCGGCCGGCCAGCCGGCCAGCGTCTGCCCACCTGTGCAGGAAGGGGGTGTGTGTCTCTGAGGGGCCCACCGCAAAAGGTCTTCCCTGCTGCTGCCTCTTAACTGGAGGTGCCAAAGACAGGCCCTGAAACCAAGGCCCAGCCCTGACAATGTCCCTCCCCTTGTCCTGGGAATCAGGCTGTCTCTGGATTGGGGGGGGGGGAGAGAGCAGAGTCCAGTCCAAAGCCAGAGGTTCCAGGGAGCGGGTTTAACAAAGTCCAGTCTAGGTTCAAGGAGTTCCAGGTAGCAAGTCCAAGTCTACTCCAAGGTTTCCAGAAAAGCCAGTTGTCACATCTAGTTCAAGGCTGCAGAGGTCCAGTAACAGCAAGGTTGGTGGCTCAGTAGTAAAGTGTACTTGTTGCATCCACTGTTTCTCCTGGCTGACTTTATAGCCAAGTCTTAACAAGCTACACTCCCAGCCAATTCCTTGGCAGGCATCCTGAAACTACTCATCCATCTCGTCAGCTGACAGCTGACGAGGAGCCATGAGTCTCACACGCCTCCTCCTTTCCTCCAACTCAGCTTACCTCTGACAGTGTTGGTGCTGCAGGGGTGTGGGTGAGTTAGGTGGGCTGGGAGTGGCTTCTGAAGCCTTGTTTACTGCTTCAGAGCTACAAGGCACTGGCTCAGTTTCAGCTGTAGGCTGTGACTTCTGCTCAGCTGATGACCTGACCTCATGTTGCTCTTCCTCTGGCTCAGAGCCAGCTGCAGCCGGTTGTTCAATGACTGGCTGAGGGCCCACTGTAGGTGGCTCTTCCTCTGCAGAATCTGTGCTGTCACCGAGCACAGACTGACTGAGGAGACCCTTGTGCTAAAGGCTCTCACAGTATCCAGTGGCCGTGAGTTTCACAGGACAGCAGTGTGCCAAGTGAAGGTCTGTACTCTTTTTAGCAGCTGCTTTCTCTTCCCGTCCCTCTCCCGCAGCCCCTCCGCAGGTGATCACACCTCCTGTAGAGTCCATCCAGGCCGCCCCCGGGGAGACGGTCCAGTTCACCTGCGTGGCTGTTGGGGTGCCCACCCCCATCATCACCTGGAGACTCAACTGGGGTCACATCCCCACCGGCCGCAGGTCAGTCAGCCCTCCGGGTGCCCTCCCCACCCCTGTCCCGTTGGGACTTGCGGCACTGACCGTCTCGCTGTGCTCGCAGGGTGTCCATCACCAGTGAGAACGGCCACGGGACCCTGGTCATCCGGGACGTCGAGGAGGCCGACCAGGGGGCCTACAGCTGTGAGGCCATCAACGCCCGTGGGATGGTCTTTGGCATCCCCGACGGCGTCCTGAGTCTCACCCCTGGGCAAGGTGAGTGGCGGGGCGGTGGGGCAGAGCCCTGGAGCTGCCTTTCGGGAGACACCGGACCTGCCTCTTACTTCTGGTTCCTGTACTTTAAGGTGGTCAGGTTTTGGAGACGGTGGCTGGGCAGAACCCCCTCCCCAGGAGCATCGCAGTACGACCAGGATTGGGTCTCAGGCCTTCCTGGAGTCCTGGCTCCTGGGTTTCCCAGGGAATGCGGAGCCAGCCCCGCCGTGACATGACCAGAAGACGGCCCTGGAGCCTCAGGCCTCCCTGTGGAGGGGAAGCAGCCCAGAGCCAGGCCACAGCTCAGTGTCGTGCACCGAAAATCCCTACCAGTGAAAGTCTGAGCCGGCCTAGGCTGGGAGGGCGGGATAAAAATTTGAATAAATAAAAAAATAATAAAGAAAGTCTTTGGGGTCACTACTGTTCAGAAGGGGCTCCGTAACGGAGCACAAGGCCCAGCCTCTCAGGAAGTGACAGGCGTGGCTGTGCCTCTGAGCATGTGCGGAGTGCAGATTTGGCAGAGCCCTGAGAGGCCACCTCAGGCCCACTTTGGGTCTCACGGTGGAGTGTCAGGAGCCCCCCTGACCTGTGACCGTCTCCCACCCCCCGCTTTCAGGGCCTTGTCCCGACGGGCACTTCCACATCGAGGGCACCTCCCAGTGCCTGCCCTGCTTCTGTTTCGGCATCACCAGAGCCTGTCACAGCAGCCGCCGCCACCGCAGCCAGATCCGCCTGCGCTTCGATGTGCCCGAGGACTTCAAAGGTGAGGCGGGCAGGCGGGGGTGTCGGGAGAGGGGGCTCAGGCCAGAGAGGTGCAGGGGCTCAGCCTTGTCCTGGGAGCCAAGGAGATGTCCCGTCTGGGGTCAAGGAGGTGTCTGGCAGGGCAAAGCCCTTGTGGACCTTCAGAGGAGGCAGAACAGAAACAGAAAGAGCCGGTTTGGTGTAGTGGTTAAGTGCGCGGACTCTAATCTGGGAGAACCAGGTTTGATTCCCCACTCCTCCTCCACTCGCACCTGGCTGGATGACCTTGGGCAAGCCGTAGTTCTGACAAGAGCTGTCCTTGAAAAAGAGCAGTTCCTGTCAGAGCTCTCTCAGCCCCGCCTACCTCACAGGGTGTCTGTCTGTTGTGGGGAGGGGCAGGGAGAGGAGTTTGTCAGCAGCTCTGAGACTCCTTTGGGTAGTGAAGGGCGGGGTATAAATCCAATCTCTTCTTCTTCTTCATCTCTGAACGTGAGCCAAGTGCTGCATACCCACACCCTTGGTTGTGACCGACTCACCAAGCCCCTCTCCCCCACCTTCCAGGTGTTAACGTGACGACGCCGTCTCAGCCTGGCGTGCCCCCCCTCTCCTCCACGCAGCTGCAGATTGACCCCAGCTTGCAGGAGTTCCAGCTGGTTGACCTCTCTCGCCGCTTCCTGGCTCAGGACTCTTTCTGGACCCTCCCCGGCCAGTTCCTGGGGAACAAGGTGAGGGGCAGCGGCAGGGGTCTGGGGTGGGCACCTTCACTGGCGCATCTGTGCCCCGCTGCCAGCCTCCCCCCCC